GCCTAACTTCACTATATCGAGATTTTAATTAGTCTTCACTATATCGAAAGTTCACTATAACGAGAGTGACTTGTATACACTTTAATTATGTAAAATTTCATATCAAAATAGGACCAATTTTTCAGCCAATTCCAGCATTAGCCGCGACATTCATTGTTAGATAAAATCGAACCACCACTGATAGCTTCTAAAGGACTTTTAACAAAAATGATTCGATTTTTGCTACTAATCTTGTCATGTTTTAAAAAATAGTAAATATAGGAAAAGATACAAAAATCATCGTAGTTAGACCAATCGCAAAAAATAACGAGCAACTGTAAAGTGACAAGTAACTATACTGCCCTTTTTATGCGTTTCCCAAAATTCGAAATGTTAGAATGGTTAGATAGGAAAAGAAGTATGGGCTCTTACGTCAAAAAATTTCTATGTTAGAAGCTGAAGTTTTTCAACATAAAAAGAATTCATTTGCGTGATTCATCAATAATTATTTTCTTAAGAATCGTAGTGATATAATTGAATTGTTTATTTTCTTTATACTTTCAACGTTTGCAAAGGGATATTTAAGTGCAAAAAATAATATATGATGCTCTGGAAACAACGGATCTACTTCTATCCGGACAGCTATTAAATTTAATACAACTCAAGACTATCAGGAACTCGATCACTTGGATCTTGAATATTCGAGATCATGGACATCTGACTCTTGAATTTTCAGGAATCTATACTTGCGAGATCTTGGATATCGAATAAAAAAATACCTGACTTAAAATCCTGTTTCCCAATCTTGTACAAAAGGCTCATGAATCCAAAAAAGTAACATTTTAAACTAATATAATAGTACACACATGACTTTATTATATAGTTATTTTGATTGGTTAATACTAACTACAAAATGTAAATTAACATTATATCCCCGCGAGATTCTTCTACATATTGAAAATTTTCTTGAAACCACTGGAATAACGAAAAAAAAAATTCAGGAAGTCTAACTTGTATCAAAATAAATATGGGAGATAAATCCATGCAAAATTAATTAATTGGTTTTCATAACCAGGCAGGGTGGGTTTTTAAAAAAATTTTATATATGAAAATTTAAAAAAAGGCAGCTGGGTCTACTTAGAAGCCGTATGTTATGAAAACCAATACTAATTTGTATGGCCTAATAAAAAGTCTAATCAAGATTTTTCTGGATCTTGTATAACGATGAGAAGGTATTCAGAATCTTATAATTTAAGAAATAGAAAAATGTTAGATTTTTTTGTAATTTAAAGGGTAGCATAGATAGTAAAATTTTTGTTACCAGGAGCAACCAATATTTCATGTTTTTTGGTTCGAACTCGCAAGAATGAAAGATCATTCTAATATCATATTTATAAATATCACATTTATAAAAAGATTACGATTAAACACTTTGACTACACATGTTCTCGATTTAATAACTCACAGATTTAGTTTCATCATCCATCTCTTTAATAACATAATTTGTTTGTTCAATAAGTTTGGTGATCAAATCTGAGTACTTTTTGGACAAAGTTTCATCTAAAGTAGATTTAATCGTTTGCCCCTCTTTGTTAACAATCAATACTTCTTTCACATATTTGTTTGCTGAAAGACGCTTAATAGTTTCTTCAACTTCGGTATTTGACTAAATATGAAGGTTATTTCTGTGTTGGTAACAATAATTAAACTAAGGATAAAATAAAACCTTGCTCAACGAACGAGCTTACCATTATTATTTAATGCTGACGCTGAAAGTTGAGGAACTTGGAAGGTACATCATCGACCCCTTTTATACTCAAATTACACATGTGTGTGCACTTAATTGACAAAATGCATATATACACGTGAGTATAAAATACTAGATCACTTTTAGTGAGATTCCTAATCAGACCAATAATTGCGTATGATCCTTATATATAATTGAAATGTCTTTGGAGTCTCGTTTAGAAAACGCTACCAAAGAATATCAAAAACTTCAAAAAGGTATTTGAACGTTTATTTCAGTAACCTTCTTTGTTTTCATTTACTATTTTAGCTC